TAATATGTGAACCAAAATGTTTTGAAAAAGGTTGAACAGTGCATCCATAAATTTAAATTTTAATACGTAAACTTTGTAAAGAAATGCATAACGTATTGGACATGAACCTTGGATGAACTTCTAATGGTAGTAGGGCAGAACAGCATGGGCCTCTCGTAGTGCTCTGGTAAGAAACTCTGTTGTGGGCCTCCCATAGTGCTCTGGTAAGAAACTGTATGGCAGCCCGCGGTATGACAGCCCGCGGTATGACAATATCCAGTCCATTGGTAAGGATCCCCCTCTAGTTCTTCAGTTAGTACCCAGATTCGCAAGCATATAAAGTTGTATATTTCATTGATTTAGGGCGACTATGTAGACAGCACCCCTACGAACCCAAGTGGACTATTCCGGACGAGCACACAGTCGAATGTGACTTAGAGAAAGGCACTCACATTCTTGTCCACCAAGAGCTCTACCAGCCGCACAACATCGAGAGAGTGCTATCTGGAAGATATTCATCCAAGATTGTCAGTCGCCTGACTACTGACTGCTGTAATGATGTTATTGTGGTTAGAGGTCAATATCATCATGTAAGTTTGTTTTTTTTTTAAATGGGCATTAAAACTGAGTGGTTCAATGCTTGGCTTTCGAACCGAGGTATCAAGAGTTCAAATCCTGAAGCATGGCCTTTTTTGAATTTTTTAAAGACGCGTCCTCTTGAGTTCACCCCAATATAGATACCTGACGTACGTTGGGGAAGGGGTTATAAATGTGGCTAGTCGTTGTACTGGTCACGTGACACCTCGTTAAACCGTCAGCCATAGATAGATCCTTCTATTACCCATAGATCTAAAGTATTTTACTTAATGGAAATGTAAAAGTTGCTATATTTAGCATTTTTCTTTAGGCAATAAGATGTTGGAAATTGTCATAAATGGAGGCCCAACAACAAATAGCAAGCTTTTTGGTGTATCCGGTGTACAGAACCCGGAAGTATTAATAAGCGAAACATTCGAATAGACCAGTGGTTCCCAAACTTAATATTTGAATAGACCAGTGGTTCCCAAACTTAATATTTGAATAGACCAGTGGTTCCCAAACTTAATATTTGAATAGACCAGTGGTTCCCATACTTAGTGTTTGAATAGACCAGTGGTTTCCAAACTTAATATTTCAATAGACCAGTGGTTCCCCAAACTTAATATTTCAATAGACCAGTGGTTCCCAAACTTTTCCCTTATCGGAAAACTTCGCACATTCTGAGTATGTAGCTGAACAGTTGTTGTTTTTTAGAGATTAATTCACATGATGGCCTAATAGTTAATTTTTCCAGTAGTTCGTGGAACACCTATTCAGGCCTCGAGGAACACAAGGGTTCTTTGGAACCTATTTTGGGGAAACATTGGAATAGACCATATGTGATCTAGCCACTACTGTGAAGCACATTTTTCTAAGCACTTTAGCTTGTTACATAAAGTAACATACCACAAGTGATCTTTTACTTTGGCATCCACGACAATCATTGTCCCTAGACAATAAATGTTTATTTTAAAATCTTCCCCCAATCATTTGTTTTTCTTAGTTTTCATTATTCCGCAACCAATTTTCTTCTTATCGCTTTCTCTTCTTTTCTCTGACTGAAACGTATGGCTTAAAAGGTGAAACGGATCCTTGAGAGTCAAGAGTAAATTTAGATCATGATTCTTCTATTAATTTTTTGTACGAATATCCTCATAGACATTTATTTCGTCCTAAGTGTACCTTATTTTGGAAGTTTGGGTGCTTTATTTAGTTCAACCATTGTCGGGTGTCTTAATTTCTGAATAGTTTGACGTGCCATATTTTGTTTAACCTTTGACGGGTGCCATATTTTGTTTAACCTTTGACGGGTGCCATACTTTGTTTTAAACTTTGACGGTTGCTTTTAGTTTAACATTTCACGGGTGCCACATTAAGTTTAACCTTTGATGGGTGCCTTATTCAGTTCGATCATTGATGGGTGCCTTTATTTGTTAAACCTTTGAAGGGTGATTTAATCATTTAAACCTTTTACAAACTCAATCAGTTTAACCATTGACGAGTTCCTTAATCAGTTTAACCATTGACGGGTGCCTTAATCAGTTTAACCATTGACGGGTGCCATAATCAGTTTAACCATTGACGGGTGCCATAATCAGTTTAACCATTGACGGGTGCCATAATCAGTTTAACCATTGACGTGTGCCTTAATCAGTTTAACCATTGACGGGTGCATATTTTATTTAACTACTGACATGTGCCTTATTTTATTTAACCATTGACATGTGCCTTATTTTATTTAACCATTGACAGGTGCCTTATTTTATTTAACCATTGACAGGTGCCTTATTTTATTTAACCATTGACAGGTGCCTTATTTTATTTAACCATTGACAGGTGCCTTATTTTATTTAACCATTGACAGGTGCCTTATTTTATTTAACCATTGACAGGTGCCTTATTTTATTTAACCATTGACAGGTGCCTTATTTTATTTAACCATTGACAGGTGCCTTATTTTATTTAACCATTGACAGGTGCCTTATTTTATTTAACCATTGACAGGTGCCTTATTTTATTTAACCATTGACAGGTGCCTTATTTTATTTAACCATTGACAGGTGCCTTATTTTATTTAACCATTGACAGGTGCCTTATTTTATTTAACCATTGACAGGTGCCTTATTTTATTTAACCATTGACAGGTGCCTTATTTTATTTAACCATTGACAGGTGCCTTATTTTATTTAACCATTGACAGGTGCCTTATTTTATTTAACCATTGACAGGTGCCTTATTTTATTTAACCATTGACAGGTGCCTTATTTTATTTAACCATTGACAGGTGCCTTATTTTATTTAACCATTGACAGGTGCCTTATTTTATTTAACCATTGACAGGTGCCTTATTTTATTTAACCATTGACAGGTGCCTTATTTTATTTAACCATTGACAGGTGCCTTATTCAGCAATCCTAGTAAACTGTACTTCTTAAATTGTTTCTTTCAGCTTGACAGCGCTTCGGCGTTCTATGAAAAGTTGAACAATGTACCAACCACGTTGCAGTCTGAACTGAAGCAACGTAACATTGACACTCTGTTTCTGGTGGGAATAGCCATAGATCTTGGTATTATCCAGACTGTACAATATGCCATCTCGCAACTTAGTAGGCTTCATTTATTTTCTGTTTTAAAGTAGTTGCTATATTCATTATTTAAAATTATAAGGTATTTTGTATGTATATATTTACCAAAAATTAAGCAAAAATAAGTGTATAAGCTTAGATTGTTTTTTAGCAATGAAAGGTAACACTATTATGCAAATACAGATTACGAATTACTCAATTGATAACTAATTATTCAAATACAGATTACGAGGTGTACGTTATCCATGACGCCACCGTCCCCTACAAGAGAGAACGTCTTCCTATGTGTGAGTTTACAATACCAAAAATGGGTCAGTATAAATGTCACTTACTAATTTATAGATTTAATGTCGTCACGTGTGCCTATAAGTGATTCACAGAATTAAATATATATGCAAATTGGTGATTCATAGACGACAGTATACAAGTCAACTAGTGATTCATCACTATCAGCGCCGATAAGGGGCTGATAGACGAGCAGGGTATCATATGGCCAGCACAACGACCAACCATCTTTATTTTCCTCAACTTGTGTCTGGTTTAGACATGCACGACACATCGATGTGCCAAAAACCCAAAATATGAAGAAAAAAGTCTTTACTTTCCCCAACTTAAGAAAGGAAGCCATTAGGACTCTCTGGACCCAGAGGCGCCCTTATAATCCCAATCTTCAGAGGTTCGAGCCCATAACCCCAGGCTCTGTAGCCAAACGCTTAACCACTCAGCCACCACTCCCCTGCGTCTATCATAGAAACATTTATAACTATACCTATAATTTAAATTTAAAAAAAAACTTTTACGAATGACTTTAAAACATTGTACATTCTATCCTTACAATTTTTTTTTCACAGGAGCTCATTTGATATGCATGAACGACCTCTATAACATAAGACCTAAAAAGGTAGGAACCCTTCATGTTTAAATATTGATACGCCTTTGAAATCCAGCCTGCTGAACAAAGCATTAGTTCTCATGACCATGCTGACTGTTTTTGGAGACTTGGCATGGCCGTGTAGACTGGTCCTAGCTGTGTAGACTGGTCCTAGCTGTGTAGACTGGTCCTGGCCGTGTAGACTGGTCCTAGCTGTGTAGACTGGTCCTAGCTGTGTAGACTGTCACGGAGCCTTGCCCTGACCGTGTAGACTGTCCTAGCCGTGTAGACTGTCCTAGCCGTGTAGGCTGTCCTAGCCGTGTAGACTTGTTCTGGAAAACTTGTGACTTAGTAATTTTCTATCCGACATTTACAACTGCATAAGCGAATGAGTTTAACCTTCTAACGTATAATCTTATCGATTACAGACTATAGAGAAAGAGATTATTACGTCCTTCTCATGTCAATGAGGTCATGCAAGTTAATGACTTCAAAACTCCTAAATCATAGGTTTTGTCTGACTGAATCAGGCATCATTCAGGCAACCCATTCATTCTCTAATGGCATTAGGGAAGAAGCTGCTCTTGCGCGAATTAGTCCTAGAATATGTAATATGAAATTTGCTTTTATCCTTGTCTGAGTATTTCATTAGGTTTTAGATTTTCTATTTGTAAGTTGCGGTTTAGTGTTTACTGTATTTAGCTTTTTTACCTTTCATTATTCTTTCCTTAAGTGTCTCGAATTTAAAACTCTCTGTACTTCAACGTTGTTTTTTTTTTCTACAGAATGTTAAAGAAGATAAAGATAAAGCTGATAAATGTGGTAAATGTGGTAAATGTGCTGAAGGTGATGCAGATGCAAAAGAATCAAAAGATGATATAGATGCAAAAGATGATATAGATGCAAAAGATGATATAGATGCAAAAGATGATATAGATGCAAAAGATGATAAAGATGCAAAAGATGATAAAGATGCAAAAGAAGATAAAGATGCTAAAGGTGCAAAAGATGAACTCTAAGAAGTTTTTGACATTATTGATCATTACCGAGTTAAATTCGGCTGGGTGGCATTCTGGCCAAGTGTTAGAAATTGTATTAAATATCTTTGTTTTCGAACATTTTTGTTACGTGAGAATCTCCGCCACTAGTCATATTTGTTACATGTTTCGCTATTAATTTTCGTAGTAAAGTTTACTTTCTTGTTAAAAATTTGATACGTTGCAATATTTGAAAATAATAAAATCCAATTCGATTCCAAGTACCTCTTCTTGTGTTGTATTTCATCTGTTAGATATGGCATGTTTCGATTGAGAGCAGAGTTATTTGCAATCTTCCTTGTAACATCACCCATCTTTAACAGTTGACCTGAATCGAATAAGCCACTCACCACTCCGGTAGACGACGTTCTTCTTATCCATTCATCCATCCCAGTGGCGCTTCAACACATCCCTCCATTCAGATCTCTCCTGGGCCTTTCCTCTCCACACCCTAACCCCAAGCTGTTATAGATCTGCCTTTGAGTCGTCTGCCTTTTGGTTTTTGCCTGTAATCTTCGCTCCAGTTATCTGAATCTTTTGTTCTTTTTTTTTTCGTAATTTGTCACTATCGGTGGGTCTTCATACCATTGAACATTGTCCTCCACCCTGTTTCATCGTGTAGAGCATCTTAGATTTTCCTAAGAATTTTTCACATTTCCAAGTATTTAGCGGTCCACATCTAAGGGTCTGACAAGGCGTGGTAGCACGACCATGTCCAGACTTAGGATTGGCCACACCTACATCACGCACTCTTTTGTGCTGAAGAAAGAAGAGCCCCCACTTTGTGAGTATTGTGACTCTCGCCTCACCGTGGAACATATCCTCATCGACTGCCCCAGATACCAGGATGTCAGGGAAAAATATTTTAGAGCCACTAATTTAAAAACACTATTCAATAATGTCGACCCTGGGAAGGTACTGGGCTTTATCCGGGAAGTGGGGTTGTCTACGAAGATCTGATTTATGAATTCTGTAAACATGTACTATTTACATTAGATTTTTACCAAATTATTAAATTTTTACTACCTCTACTTTAACTGAATAGACCTTGATTTTAATGATTTGACTGTATGGAATTTGGCCTTTGCTGTGTGGAGGGAGAGTGGCCCTTGAGGGACTGCAGGCACGACATGGCCTAAATTGTGCCGATGTGCCCAAAATCACAAATCACAAATCCAAGTATTTAGATTTTCGGTGGTCTTTGTCACTTGCACACGATTCTCCTTAAGGAAGATCTTATTACCACTTCGGCCCAGGATAGCCAACACTGTATGGCAGAGTGGAACATCTGAAAAACACTTTTTTTTTTCCTTGTAGACTGCAAAAGTGCTTACAACTCATCAGGCAAAACCTGACTTTAAATGAGGCTAGACACAAGCTTCACAGCTTTGCTACCAAAGATGCTCGAGGTCGAACTCTAAATCAACTCGATCCCGAGAATGAAGTGGGACAAATGTAATTTGCTTTAAAAAGAAACTTGCCAAATTTCTGACGGAGAATATCAGCTTTTTAAATGAAAATTCACAAATCTTGAGACGCTAAGAAATGTTTACTTTAGTTTTAGGTATTTATATGAGCAACTGTCATGAAATGGGGGGTTGTCCAAAACTTCTCTATAAGTTTGTGCATTTAAAGCTAAATATATGGACAGTATAATGGCACTGATGTATAGCAGTGGTCTTCAAGCTTTTTTGGCCTACTGCCCCCTTTTAGTATCTTTTTCTTTAAAAAAAAATAAAATGTCAATGAAAGAGAAAAGGATTTTATCACTGAAAGTCAGTCTTTTCCTGCAGTCAGGTTTGTTTCATCCCTTTTTGTTAGATGACTACCGTGTAGAACAAATCTTTTGTTTAGCCTGCTTTAAGTCCTCGCCAACCTATAAATTTTCCTGTTTCTTAAAAAAAATTCTAACATTGAATTAATAAATAGCTTAATGAAACGAGCGATACAACTCCTTTTCGAAATCCAGCGAACTTCAATTTACAATGAGAGTTTAACATGTTACTTATAATTTGTTTCACAAAACTGTTGCGCTTCCAGCGCCCCTCAATTTCATTAAAACGCCTCCCAGGAGGTGCTAGCGCCCCCTTCGTTTTGACAAAAGTCGGACGGAATAAGAAATAGTTCTAAATAGGAGAATGTCACCTTTCCAGAACTTCTGGTAACAATTTTGTTGAAGGGAAAGTAACAAACTTCTTCAAATATCGCATTTATTGAATATTGTCGTTTAAAAAATAAGTATAGGTATCTTAATTATAAATTATATCCTAATTATGGTCAATTATTTTTTAAGGGAAGTAACCAGTAATACTAGATTTCAAGCAAATTTAATCAAGCTGTTTCCCTTGCAATGATGAATTCTCGTGAATTAGCGCAACATGTAACCTGAGACTAGCATAAATACCCAGAAGCTAGCGAATATTAATATGTATCTAATTGGAAAATACCTTATCAATAATAAATGCCAACATAGATATTGATTTAAACTTCCATGTTACACTTGCTAGGGCAGTCTTTGGTAGACCTCAAGAACAAGTATGGTCAAGTGTACACTCATAATGACTCATTCCCTCACTTTTATATGCTTCAGAGTCGTTGACCTTATTTATATTCCAGTCATATCCTGAACGACTTTTACATTCGCTAACAAATATTCTCCATGTAAATTGGTTTGATAGCATAGTCTCGTCAACTCTATCCATGCCACAGTTTTTTTTTTAAAAAGGTGTCCCAACCAAGATGGGCTAGACATGTAGTCCGTTGGTCTGTTGAGTGACGACCTTATTTTTATGTAATACATTCATTCTAATTTCTTATGTAACGTCCCATAAGAGACGGTTTAGTTTGCAATCACAGGTGCTCCCATGTGGGCACAGAGGAAAACGAAACGGCAGACAGAGAAGCAAAGAGAGCCCTAAATCAAGCGGTGTCAGGAACTCAAAGTCCCTGCTCGGACCTAAGACAGAGTATCGCCTCTGTTACCAATTGAGAGTTGCCTGATCGACGGGAGGCTGAGACCCACAACAAACTCAGATAGATTGTGGCGGATGTCAGGTGGCGGCCACATCTAAAGGGTCTGACAAGGTGTGGAAGCACGACCATGTCCAGACTTAGGATTGGCCACTCTTATATCACGCATTCCTTTGTGCTGAAGAGAGGAGCCCCCACTTTGTGAGTACTGTGACTCTTATCTTACCGTGGGACATATCCTCCTTTGATTGCCCCAGATACCAGGATGTTATGGGTAAGTATTTTAGAGCAGACGACTTACAACACTGTCTGCTAATGTAGGCACTGTGAAAATACTGGGCTTTATCCGGGAGGCGGGGTGGACTACAAAAATGGTATTTGTGACAGGGCAAAGTAATTGTGAATATATAATATTTGTATAAAAATTATATAAATTTTTACTATTTGAGCTATGAACGGAACTTATTTTAATAACTTAGCTGTATAACATTTAGATCTTGAGCTATAAAGGGAAAATAACTCTTAAGGTGTTATGGGAGTGACATGCGTAAATTGTGCCGATTTGCCAAAAATCCAAATATCAAAACCCTAAATATCAATCGCAGATGCACTTTACAATCAATGCCCACCCAACATTTCTATCACTGCCAATTTTAAAAAAATGTGCGTAACATTTTCAAAGTACACTATTGGCATTAATTCAGTATTAGCAAGGTTACAAAGACAGTTTGTATGAAAACTCAAATTCAAAATCGCCTCCCGAAGTGCAAAACTAAGAGTCTTTACCAGGATTCAAACACGGGACTTCCGGTTCCAAGTGTTTTACCCATCAGCCACAGCTTCTTAATATATTCATTTAGCGTGCACTTATATTTTTTAATTACTAACCTTATTCATACATTCAAAATTAAAAACAAGTGACATGTAATAAAGAGAAACTAAAAAAGATTTAATTCTTCTTACAAAATTAGATAAATTGGCAACATGATAAAAAAAAATTGACCTACTTTAGGTAGTGAGCTAGCAAAAAATGACTTGACATGACTTTTCCCTCGCAAACAATAATTAATATTTTATATCTTATCTTATATGATACAGACGTTACATCAAAAAAGAAGATAATTACGTCCTACGCGTCATGCGTTTAGTCATGCATATTAACCAATGACCAAATGCATGACTCTCTATTGTCATTTGTCAAACAAACTAGTTCTAGATATATGTATATTATAAATATAGCCTATCTATAGACCCTATATGGGCTCTATTTAGACTGTCAAGTAAATATGTCCAATTCTGCGCGCTATAAAAGTAGTTCGTTATTTTTTAAACTTAGAACCAAAACGAAGTTCGTATCAAAATTATTTTTTAAAAAAACATCATTTGAATCAGTATTCTATTCAATGAGTTAGTTAATAAATGGAGAATATATTTTATAATGATCCATTGATACTTTTTCCATTATGACCTTACATGCAATTTATTTGTACCAATGCGCGAAACTATGAATAAAGTTTGATTTATTAATGAAGAAGTATGTGACCTTTTAAAAAACCCACCTCCCTTGAAGTTTTTCATTGAAAAGTGGTGTATTTTTTTTTTGTTGAAAAATGTGCTTGCATAGATAATTTTAAAAACTAGATGGTTCACTTTCGTAAAAGAAAAAAGTAGCCGTTGCATCAAAACTTTGAATGATCTAAAATATCATGATGTCCGATTTTCATTTTCTCTCCTAGTTTCTGAGGTCTAAACGGGACAGACGAACAGACGGACGGACGGACGACAGACAGGCCACACAAAACTAATAGCGTCTTTTTCCCTTTCGGGGGCCGCTAAAAAGCAACATAAGCCCTATATATTTCTTATATTTATATTTATATTTCTTCTAAAGATATAGAGTTCACTGTATGCATGTGTACAGTTATTGATACATTATCAAATGTAACAATGACTATGTGGACAAAGGTAGGCCTATAATTGAATGTCCATCATAGGGACTACAACTTATCGGCCGGATTGTATACAAATGGCCGCTCCGATTTTGACACCCAGTCCGACCGCGCCCCTGTTTGTCATTGCCCATTCAACACCTTTTTTTTGTCCATACCTATTAATTTTTATCACTGCCAATTCATACACTACTGTATGACGAAAATCTGTTTTTGCCGTTCGACACATTTCGGTCACTGTCTATTCGGCACACTTTTGTAACTGCCAATATGACACACGTCAATGACACAAGGGCACTGCCG